TTGCTTCTAAACAATAGTGAATGAAATGCAATGAATGGATGAATAATTGGATGAATGAGTGAACCGATGGTATGAATAATAAAGATGTCTTTTATTGTTGGCTGTGTTGGACGCTCTGGTGTCTCATTAGACTGTATTTGCCTGAAAATAATACAATCAATTAAATCAATGCCTTATCAACAATAAGGGACTTCCCCTTAAAGGCAAGTCGTAGTGATTAGACAATAAAACTACCCTCATCACATACAGTATACAGTACAGTACGGGTACTTTGCTAATCGGTGAATCTTAAGATATCTATCTAATAGACCACATTCCCTAAATATACAGTACTGTACAGTACCGTAGAATAAACTTTAGTACCGTATAACTGATGCCAAGAATATTGAATACTGTTGTGATTTAGGACACGAATAGGAAAGGTATGAAAATGATGTGCAATTACTTGAGAAAAATTTGCCACAATTGGCAAACTCGCAGACATTGGGATTGACACTGGAGTGCAGTTTTCGGTGTTCAATGAGATTGTATTTGCGGACAAAGCTTTTGCCACAATTAGGCCAATCACATGGGAACCGACGTCCGGTGTGGATGTTCTTATGAGTGTCCAGATGTGGTTTCTTGCGGAACCGTTTGCCACAGTTCTGCCAGTCGCAGATGTAGGGCTTGTCCGCCGCACAGCACGAGTGACACGTCTGGTGAGAGTTCTGGTATTTGCGGCCTTTTTGTGCCGTTCCTTCAAATAATGAGACAATCGTTTCAATGAGTCTATTGTCACCACATTTACAATACATGACATCAATTCAATTGGTTATCAATCATATCCATCAGAATATGTCTATACTGATGGACATGTCATTGTCAGCCATTCATTACTGCCGTAGTTTTAGGGCATCTGCTGAAGACCTTAAGACAAAATATGTTTCAAATAAACTAATGGTTAATACATAGTGTACTCATCATCTGCTATACTATACACGACAGCAACCCCTAAACCAAACCAATTGACTCATTGATGATAAGGTGGTGTGAATGGTATGATGACTAACCAGATCCATGTCCGTTGCCATTGACGATGGTGTCATTCAATTGGATCATAACCTGCTTATATCGGTCGCATTCAAGCTTAATGTCTTTGATTTGTTGCTTCAGTTTATCGCACTCTGAGTTCTTGGCCGACAATTTGCGTCTCAACTGCTCGTTGTCTGCATTCAGACCATCGACTTGTTGTTTCAGACCTGAGTTCTCGTTCACCACCGATGCCTGACTTCCCAACACATACATCATCCCCGGGTTGGCCACGGAGTTC